TTTGGTATATAAATACCCAAAAACCCATTTCTTTGTTATTTGTGCCACTTTCACCAAAACTCTCCTTACCAAAATCCTCTCAAGCCTCTCTCTTTCCCCAAACTCTCCCAACTGTCGGTCATATTCTCCGATGGAACCCCACCGCCCCGTTGCTATCCGGAATCGCTCCGGCCACCACCCATAGTGGTCGGAGACATATAAACTACACCCTTCGAAAGCATTTTCTCCCCTGAATTTGAATCTAACCACCAATCATCGAAAATGGACCCCAATAATCGTAGATCTACTCAAATAGATCTTACAATTTACCTTTCCCCGGCGATAATTGGGCCTCTCGGCGACGCTTCACTTCTTCCCGGTTCTTCTCCTGTGAAACAAAACTAAGCTTTTTTTTTATCATTCACTATATTTTTGATTTTTAATGATTTTTGGTGCTTTTTTTCGAAAGCTCCTCACTACCCATTGCCCCTTTTGGTGTGTCTCACTGGAGGCTTTTTATAGCCCCGATTTTGGCCATTTTGAGTCCCGAACCGGACGAGATTCGTGGGCTGTTTGTTGATTTACTCATTCTTATTTCCTCGTGCACACCGTTCGGCCAGGATTTTAGGGATAGTTCAGTCCCGATCTCGATCGAATGTTGACCTCTGATCTCTACGCTTCGCGCGTGGTATGTGCGGTGCCCCTTGCTAAACCTACAACCCTAATATGTTTCGAGTTTATTTCTGGGTCGGTTTAGCGGCCTGCTGGGTCAGATGGGTCTGCTAGTTGGATCTGGACCTTGGTTAGGCTCCTTGGTGGACAGTTTGGACCTAAAAAAAGAATAAAAACAAAAATAACAAAATGAATAAATAAATAAATAAATGTAAATAAAACTATATTTAAAAAAATAATATTATATATATTTTCGAAAAATGTTTTCAAAACCATATATATTATATATATTCAAAAATGTTTTCTAAATTATATATTATATATGTTTTTCCAAACCGTTTTTAAAACTATATATTATATATATTTTCAAAATATTTTCAAAACTATATATTATATATGTTTTCAAAAATGTTTTCAAAACTATATATTATATTTTTTGTTGAAATTATGATTCTTTCATTTTTCGATAGGTTTATGTATTTCATTGAAAAATTATCTTTTAATGGTCATATTAGTTCATCGTGTGTTCTAATTTTACATGTTTAAGTGGTTTGTCCATGATTTGCTTTGCTTTATTAATTTCTTTCAATGACTAGTGTTTGCTAGATATTTCTACGTGTGGTTAAATGATTTCTAATAAGCTATTATAGTGCATTAGAAAAGACTTTGAGATGATTGCTCTAGTATGAGTGCTTTTTGTGTTGGGTGAATCCTTCAAATATTTGTGTAAGCAAATTTTTTGTTTTGGCTTACTTGGTCAGTAGCATAAGATTGGATGCTTGTTGAAACTCTAACAGCTTTTGATAATGTGTATACTGTTCTTGAAGTTGTTTGTGGTCGATATACCAGTTGTCAAGGTGTGAAAGTAATACTTTAGTGATGATGGAATGAATCTTGAATTCGTCGTTCATAGACGAAAATAGGGAATTTCTACCGTGAATATATTATTAAGGAAATGCGTTATAAATTTTATTATTATTTTTTTTAACAAAATCGATAAAAGAAATTACCTAAAACATTATTATTTCTATTTAAAATATTAATTTTTTTAACATTTTCGGTAAAGTGCCCAATAATAACAAAACCGGTAGAAAAAAATAATGTTTTAGGTAGTGTTTTACCGGATATATTAATAAAACCGGTAAAACGCCCAATAATAACAAAATCGGTAAAACGTCCAATAATAACAAAATCAGTAGAAATAATAATGTTTTAGATAATTTTTTATCAGTTTTGTTAAAAAATAATAACAAAATCGATAACACTTTTCTTTACCATATATTAAGGTTATCGCACGTGAAACTTTCGTTTTCACAGAAAGACTGACATGTAACCTTTACCAATTGCATTTTGAGTCTACTTGTCTTCTTCCTTTTTTTTTCATTTTCTTAAAGTGGAAGTAATGCGTCCTCACTACAACACTTCAATTGCTATAGTCGATGACGATGAAGGTTAAATAATTCTTATCTATGTTTCATGTTGTTTCATTCTTTCAAGTCGTATTATGGCATTGATGTTTGAAGGAAGGAATCGGATTACTTTAACTATATGAATTGGAAGTTTTTCCGTAGAATCCGTAACTGTAATATTTCAAACCTAATCTTGAAGTATATCAATCATCAATGAGATTTTTCGGTTTTGTCTTGTATTTATGTAAAACAAATGCTTTGCTGCAGGTGCTGAGGTTTCTATACTTTGCATTGCAAAATTCGACCAAGTAGTTAACTAGCAAGCTTTCACAAACGCCAAGGGGTATGCATCGTGGCAGAAACAATATAGGAGATCGGCACGAACTCCGGCGATCTCGGTGGTAAATAAATTTTTGTTATTCCTTAAGGTTCCAAATTTGAGCACTACGAACGCCAAGGGGTATGCATCGTGGCAGAAACAATATAGGAGATCGGCACGAATTCCGGCGATCTCGGTGGTAAATGCATCGTGCCAGGGGTACAAGTTTTAATGTCAAATAATTAAGAGTTATCTTTGAGTAGATACTACTTTATACTTACTCTAAATTAAAAAAAAAAAAAAACTGACAGGAAAACTCATGGGATGGGGTGGATGGGAATGTAATAAAAGCAATGTTTTATTTCTCAACGAAACAATCTTAGCTTTCAAGATTTTGATATTCTGTTGTTTCTCTTAAATTTTTTATATTCATTAATGAAACAACGTCAGATGACGAAGATATTTAGTTCATTTTTATTTTTCCTCGGCAGTTTTTTTATTATTCAATGTCCTGCCAATGTATTTGTGATTATTCTAAATTTTCAATTTTTTTCATTCTCGTGGATCTTGTTACTTGAAAGCATAATTTTTGAAAATTCGGATAACCTGCTACAACAAAAAATTTGAGAATAACTTTATAATTAATATAACAATATATTTATAACACAATCAACATAAATAATTCATATTATTTATAATTCTAAAAAAATTATGAGTGATATTAATTTTTAATAATAATAAAAATAATTTAATAAAAATGAAGGAAAAATAAATAAAATTTGCAATGGTTTGTTTTAGTAAAAACATATTTTAAAAATATATTTTTAAAAAAATTACCAAACAACGAAAAATAAATTATGAAACACCATCTAAATATCAAAAATATTTCTGGGAATCCGTTTTTTAAAAATTATAATTTATTTTTAGAAAATTAGTTACAGGGAAACAAACAAACCTTTAAATACAAAGAAATGAATAGGCAAATCATCATCTATTGATTTATGCCAAACGCCTTCACCAAATTAGCCAAAGTATACCATCATCCACTGTGGCTACCATTCTCCAAAATTAAGAGGAAAAAAAACATAAAGAGAAGAGATTAAAAAAAACCTTTTGATGAATCTTTTGAGAATCAGAGTCTGTCAGAGAAGAACATGATAACATCTCCATATTCTAAAAAAAATTCGAATTTCATAATCGAAAAAGTATATCTAAATCATTTAACTTGTTTTTAAATTTATATTTAAAATGAATACAATTAACATAAATATTTTTTTGACAATAATAAATATTTAAATTAAACTATCATTTTTTTGCAGTTTTTTAAATATTTTTTTAATGTAAATACAATATAAAACTGACCTAAATCAACACTCTTTATCAAAACTGTTGAAATCAATTATTAAGTTGATTTTTTGAGTTATAGTGCACTATTATATATAGGGACGTGTATTCGATCAAGTCGAGTAAAAAAAACTAAGTTAATTAAGTTGAAAAATTATATTTTAGAATTCAAACTTTATTTTTTAAAAAAATTGAGTCAAGTCAAGTTGTTTGAGTTTCTATTTAAATTTAATTATAAATATTTATAACATTATATTGTTAATTGATTCTAATTCAAATGTATTTTTATAGTCATATAAAATATACACATATATTTCTTAATATATAATATACATATATTGTACAGAGTTGAGGGGATCGACTCGAAATTAAAAACAAATCATCAATTATTAAATATTTAAGTTTTTTGAATTATTCGAGACATATTTTATAACTCAAACTTTATTTAAAAAAAATTCAAGTCAAATTTATGAAATGAAAATTCAAATAAACTGAATCAAAATTTTAATATTGAACCGAATAAAAAAAATTAATTTTTCGAGATAAGTCAAGTTCAATTCAACCTATAGCCCTACCCCTAATGAACTTTTAGACCTGTAATAAAATTATTTAATTTAGATATGATTTTATGTGAAAATAAGTGCTCATACTATAATCTAAGTTAACTTTAGGCATTTAAAGAATTTTTTTTGTTAAAAATATGTGTCTAACGTTTCTTTCCATTATACTTTTAAGTATCTAGTTCGCTACGATCGTGAAATTTAATCGTTATCTAACACATACCACTACTATACAATTTTAAAATTTTTATTTTTTTAAATCTAACCCCATGTTTGCTTCCCACTTGGTCCCTCTATCCCCTCCCACAACACACGCACACTAATTTTCCATTTGCCTCAAATACCTATTAAGTTTAGGTTTATAAATTTAGGGGTTTGAAATAATGAGAAGCATGACGATCAGTTAATGGTTGAAAATCGACAAATAGACGGTCTTCCGACGATTGAGATGGTAACGATTAGAAATGAGTTTGAAATTAAGGACTTTAGTTTTTTTTTTTTTTTGTGATTTTAGAGAATTTTTCAAAATAAATTATAATTCTAAATTTTTGATTTTAAAATTTTATAAATCTAACATATGTTAAATAATAATTAAATTTAATATCTGTATATCTAAAAATATAATAAAAAAATTAAACACCTCTTTAAATAGACACTCTACTACAAATATAATCCCTTCTTTTTATATTAAACCTTTAATAAAAACATAAGTAACTACTCGACGGCAAGAGTAGAGGGGCAACTCGAGAGTAGAGGCGCAACACGAGAGTAGAGGCGCAACCGCTGTCTTTCCCTAGCTATCTCCCGTTCTGACACTTCCTTGAGCTTCCCTCCTTATATATCAAAGGTTACCCTCTTTCTTTATTTTTATTTATTTTTATGCCATTTTGTTATATGAAATAAAGTGTGTGTTTTCTTTTGAAAATCAGTTTCTATCATTGATCCAAATTAATTATTTATATAGATTCGAAAAAACAAAAAAAGTGCAAAATGGGTTTTTTTCGTAGTTGATTGATTTTTTGTTTCAGTGAAATAATTGATTGAACTTATCATCCATGAAATTGTAATTTGTAAATGAATGGTAAAAGCAAACTATAGTTTCTCACTTGGTTGTTCTTTTTCACACTTCAGATTTCGTTACTTGTATTTTGCTTTGATAAGAATTGTTTAAAAATAGAACCAAACGGCTGTAATCATGGTTCCTTATATACGAGGAGCTAGGAAAGTATAACTTAGATTCAACATGATCCCTTTATTGGAAAGGAATGTCATACATTTTGTTACCTGTATGTTTTCGATTGTTCGAATAGGTTTTTTGAAAACAATATGTAAGTTGTATGAAAAACAACCAGTGGAGTCCTAGATTTTATGGGTATTTTTTTGTTTGATTGATAAGATTAAGAATTTCCTTTTTCAGGCTTTCAATATGGAAGAGGCTGCAAAGACTGCAAAAGAATCCCTGGACCTGGCATTTCACATTTCAAACATTCTTGATACTGGTCTTGATCGGCATACTCTGTCAATTCTCATTGCACTTTGTGACATGGGTTTGAACCCTGAGGCATTAGCCGCTGTTGTTAAGGAACTCCAGACAGAGCCCTGTCCCTTGCCCCCAACACCAACTGTACCATCACCAGTTCCTTAAACAGGTTTGTGGTTCTTCCTTGTTGTTTTTTAGAATGATATAGGAGGCTTTAAGGTGGTTTTGACTTCTATTCTCTTATGTCTTGTTTCTAAGTAAGGAAGGTTAAACTGTTAAAGGAAAATGGGGTTGATAAATGTTTCATTTTTAGTCTATGATATGCTTGTAGCCTTGTAGTAGTTAAACTTCATATCCAATATGTATACGTACAAAGATGCATTTCTACAAAGGTGATATCGTTGTGATGGATGCTCTCTCCCATTTACTGAATACCATCTTTGACGATGTTTTTTACTCCTTTTCTTACGGATATGTTACAAGTTTTTTTTTATAGAAGTTGGAGGTCTCATTAAAAACTCCCTTCGTATTCTTCCACATACTTAGAAGTATGTTGAAGAACATAGGAAGGAAGAAAAGAGTGCCTCAAATTTTATTGAATAGTAAACCAAGTACATGTGGTAACACCGATCCCTCATATGGGAATATACACCATTACAAACCATATCACCTAGAAATCTTACATCTTCAAACAAAAAGCCCCTAAGACAATAACCCTATTTCTAAAATACACCTCAAGATGTAAGATAACATAGCGAAATGGAAACCAACAATTACAACCTCAAACAAAAATAAACTATCTTTTTTATATAGAAGTGTAGGCCTCGTTAAAAACCCCCTTCATGATTAACGGAACACCAATCGGTGTTCCTTAATCAGCGGGAGGAGGAAAAGAGTGCCTCAAAATTCATTAATAAGTCAAAGATTACATAATGTTTAAAACAAACAAACCAATTACAAAAACAACCCGAAACACACCAAAGAACACATCTTCACTCAATTAAACAACATCCTAACCCAACAAACAATAACTACCCAATACCAGCCTTAGCTAAGCTATCACTTCTATATTTGTTGTTCTGTCAACCCATCTGATAGCTCCTTCCAAAACTCTTATCATGACAACAATATCTTTCACTAGATGAAGGAAAGCACCAGGACAACTATCTAAATTCTTAACCTAGTCCACATCAAGTTTTCTATCAGATTCAACAATCCACCGATTCTTAAACCTCTGAAGAATAGGCTCAAAGATAAGTACACCCCTCATAATGGCAATAAGCTCTAGCAAAGTTGGAGGGCCTGGATCTGCAGATTCTTTAAAAGAACCCATAATCTTGCCAGCCTTATCTCTTAGTAAACCACCTACACCGCTCTTTCGCCAATCATTGCAAACTGCTGCATCTACATTCAATTTTAGATAACCCTTTGGAGGAGGAATCCAGGACACAATTTTAGTAGTCGAATTTCTAGAAGAAGAACAAAAATCTGCAATAGATGGATCACTAATCAGGGAGTCTTTAGTAATAGTTACCGCGTTGAACTTAGCTAAGAACCAAGAAGCAAGCCTTAGCCTAGCCATGAAAAATAACTCAATCTGATCCAAGGACCTTCCTTCAAACACCACGACATTCCTGAATTTCCAAATGGTCAAAAGCACTGCCCCCGGAATTAAGGACCAAATAGAAGAAGAAAGCATCATATCATTCCAAGCAAGTAAAAATCCTCTGCATTTACATGAATAACCGAACTAATTTTCCAAAAATTCAAAAACTTATTCCATAGGGACCATACCACCATGCAAGAGAAAAATAGGTGAGGGACAGATTCAATCTCTCTTTTACACAAAAAACAAGAAACATCAACAATCCCCGCAACCCCTCTTTTTTGTAGCTCAAACTTAACTGCCAATTTTTGATGGGCTACTTGCCACATAAAAGTTTCTATTTTAGGAGGCACCAACCCATTCCAAATACATTTCACCCAAAAATTGTCTTTTACCGATTCAACAAAACAAGTCTTCATGCAAGAGTTAACAATAAATATGCCTTCCCCATTCCCTCTCCAAAGCAGACCATCTCTTGACTCTTGGGATAGGCTGAAGTTATGAATGATGGCTAGAAAATTAGAAAACTGTTCTAACTCCCAATCACATAGGTTTCTTCTCATCTGGACATACCAAGACCACCCCAAATGAATTGAACTCACCAAATTCATTTAATATCCCAAACTGAAGAAAGAGCATATATTCTCGGGAAAGCAGTCTTCAAAGGATGATCTAGAGCCCAAATATCAAACCAAAACCTGATTCTCTCCCCATTACCCACTTTGACTTGGAACATGCTACGAATCTTAGCACCAAACTCATCATCTTTAAAATGATTATTAACCACCGATTTCCAAATCCAAGAAGCATTTGTTGGTAATTTTTTAGAGAAAAAAATCAGATTAGTGTTCTGATTATATTTGGAACAAATCATCTTCTTCCAAATTGATTCGCTATCATTAGCAAACTTCCAAAACCATTTCTCTAATTAGGCCCTATTCATAAAATTAAGATTCAGCACACCCATACCACCACAACTTCTTGATTTACAAACTGTTGACCAGTTGACCCAGTGTATTTTCTTAGATTCTGCCCCTCCTCCCCACAAAAAATTGGCCATGATGGATTGCAACTTAGAATTCACTGCTGCTGGAATTTTAAACAAAGACAAAATAATATGTAGGTAGAGAGCATAATACTGATTTCAATAAAACCAGTCTCCCTGCCAAAGAAAGAGTTCTTGCCTTCCAACCCGACAGTTTCTTGAAAAATTTCAGCACAACCAGATCCCCCAGAGCTGCAGAGTTCCTATTTGCTCCAAGCGGCAGCCCTTAATAATCAGAAGGGAAAGTACCAACTGCACACCCAAGGTCCCCGGCCCACTCCTTGACCTCTTCATCAGTAATATTAATGCCAAATAGTTTACTTTTGCTGAGATTAAGCTGTAGACCAGACATAATTTCAAAAACCCGTAGAACTCTCTTAACGTTTAAAATATCCGTCTTAGAAGCATTGCAAAAAATAATAAGGTTGTCTGCAAATTGCAGATGGGATAGCATGTAACAAACATAAACTATCAATCACCACAATTTGTTTGTGGCATTTTTGTAGTGTTTTTCATTGGGCTCCCATTAAGGGATAAGGCCTTTTTACATACTATGGGATTAAACAATTCTTTAGCTTTTTGCTTTCCTCTTGCTTTTTTTATGATTCTGAAGCCATATGGTATTTCTGATGTCCTTTGTCCTGAGATCACTGGGTTCAAGTCTAAGCATTGGTCTAGCTGTTTTTGAACCAATGGAAAAAGGGCCATGGTAAATTCTAATATCTTGCGGTTGATGTGTGCAATGCGTGTTCAGAAGTTCTATATGGTTAGTCAATGTCTAAATGGCAATTACTAACTTGTTTCTATAAAGAAACAAAACAAAATGAAAATTAAAATATTGAGTAATGAGACTGTAGTTACTGGATTGATATTATAAGACAATGAGTGTGATAAACTAGTATACATGTCTAATATTTTAACCATTGCATTATATACTATGCAACACTTGCAAAACCAATCCCTCCAAACTGTAAATGCATATTATTGATGCTACACCAAACCAAGCTTTAGTATTATCATCTGTGAACATAGTTCTCAGAAATATATAGGTGACTGAGTGAGGTTCATGTAGTTTGTTATGTTTTGGGATAGTTTCTGGATATCACTCATCTAGCCTTTGGATAAATATAGTCTTAATGCACATATAGGGGTATTATGTAGTATGAACTCCTTAAGTATGGCTTGTATCATATGTAGGACAAAGGTAGTATGAATGAAGGCTGAGAATATGTGCTGTTTCATAATTACCCGACAGTTCTCTGTATTAAATACCAATGTCATGCATGCTTGGTACAATAATATACCCCTGAAATATGTTCTCATTCTATTTTGTCCGTAGTTGCTTTTAAGGCTTTAAAGCATAACATGCTAGTTTTTTCCTATGTCAGTTGCCCAAATCTTTTAGGCATAAATGCTTCTATCACATCATCCTCTATGGTTTACTTGATATTTACTTGCCTGATCCATACAGCTTGAATTACATTTTAACAGTTGCTGTGGGCTTACAAGAGAGCAGTCTTTCTGTTGCCAAGTATTACTGCTCAACCATGTATCAGAATAGTGTGTGCCTAATAGTTCTAGGTTCAGAATCATCACTATCTTGTGACCTATGTTGAGTCATAGGAGATTCTTCAATTTCTTTCATTTTAAGAACTTTTATGCGAACAAGTTTTGTTTGTAAATGTTCTCGAACAAACGGTTACCTTAAGTTATCCTATTTGTCTTATTCTGTTAGAATAAGACCTGTTGACATTATGTTTCTCTTTTATGAATTATATGAATTTTTTTTTTGAATCATTAGCGGGGCAACATCCAATAGATTTGAATTATATGTTGCAAGTGGTCTGAGGGTCTGCATCTGGTAATGCAGGAATAGTTCTTAGTTCTGATTGTATTGACAACATAGAAAGGATATTTAAAGGATGAGATTCTTAGGAGCTAAGTCTTGCAGTGGCATCTTCCATCAGCATCAGCTAACAGTCGCAGACTTTTCTCTGGAAACAATATTGCAGTGCGTCGGCAGTGATGAGGAAGCTGCTGCGTATCAATAGGCACACTAGCACCACATATGCTCTATCGGACAAGTACACTTGAGATACAGATAGATATTCTACTTGCCCCCCAAAACCTCCATCTAACCATTGCTTTCGTTCTTGTAATATTCTTTTGTCCGTATCTAGTCCCTTCAACTTGCTTAAATTAACATCACAACAATATCAAATTATGATACGCCTAAAAGATGGCTTTTTTTTTGAACTACATTCTTTTGTGCCTAACTGAAAGACGCTTTTTGCAGGAAGCATCAAAAGGGTCATAACTTTAAGAGTTGGGCTGAAATGAAAGAAAAAAATATGGGCCAAAAATATAAAATAAAATTATATGAATTTTATCCAAAAAAAAAAAAAAAACCTGCATTGCACAAGCTAGATGGCGACAGTGTGTGTTAATCTTACGTTCAATCATTTAATAAATGTATGTTTAACAAGTTATATTTAAACAATTGAAAAACTCACATATTTAAACAATGTGGGATTTCAAATCACATATTGTTTTATTACGTGGGTTTTCAAGTGTTCAAATATAGCATTTTAAATATGCATTTATTGAATGATTGAGTATAAGATTAATACGTGTGTTGTTGCCTTTGGCTTATGTAATTATGTGTCTTCAACATGCATCATGTGCGTTTAGTCTTTTAGATACAATTCATATGATTTATTTTTAATATTTTTGGCCCCATTCGTGACAAGAAAAGAGTGTTAAATTAAAAAAATAATATACCATGAATGTTGGAATGAAAAGTTATTTTTAAAAACGTCCTAAAAGGCATCAAGGTTGATTAAGACCAAAGCCAGCACGAACCTGAAAAAGCAAATAAACCCGTTAGAAAATATTGAAGTCATTACTTGAATTGCATACAGGGGCGGAACAGTGGAAAGATGGGCTATGGTCTCAAAATTTTGAAAAATTAAATTTTAGACCCTTGAATTTAAAAAAAATTAATTTGTGCCTCACAAAGCTTTTAAAATTTCATGTTAGGCTTTAAATTTTTTGAATGTTCTTAATTAAACCCCTCTTATAATTTTTAAAAATTTTCATTAAGCCTCTCAAATTTTCAAAAATTTTAGTTAGCCTCAATTTTCTTTTGCAAAAATGTAAATTACCCTTCAATTTTTTTTGGAAGTTTTAATTTAAACCTAAATTTTATCACCAAGTTTCGCCACTAATAAGACATTGTAGATGATTCTTACACTCTTTTGTTTGCTTCATTCCCCAAAAGTTAACCCTTAAATTTCATATATGCTATTGCTAGGTTTGATATATGTGTACTTTTATGGGTGTATTTTTGTTTTGGTTTTTTAAGGTCCTACCTGGATGGATATTAGTGACACTTGTTTCATGCACGAAGAAATCAAGGCATCCATTTTGTTTGACTGGAACATATTTGGAAGAGAATAAAATTGTTATTCTCTATCTTTCAACTCAAAATGCATGCTTTTGATTTTAGTATGGCTCCTGGAAACATAAATGTTCAGCCAAGAAGAAGAAAGAATCGATTCCATTGGCTATAGTTTCAGCCTATAGACCAATGCCCATGCTGATATTCTTCTCCATTTATCCACTAAATTCAGTAAATTCAGCCAGTATTCTTTAGATATGATCTTGGGTATCAAAATTCATAATTTTAAGAAGAAATGGAGGGCTAAAAAAAATCACATTTTGCAGCTGTATTTAGCTTCACATGGAAGCCATGTTTCACTACTTAAATAACCTGCAGGCACATAGGATAGCTTTAAGACAAATATAAAAGCCTTTGAAGTTTTTTCATAAAATGTTTGGTATGTTCAATTGCAAGACAAAATTTTCCCATGCCTTGTCTGTAAGTGCTTGCTCTGCCTCCATAATCTCTGCTTCTATATACATATTGATTTTCATCCTATTTTCTTCCCATCTTTAGATTATTGAGCTTTCCGTACATATGGATTGTGAAGGGTGCGAAAAACGGATCCGAAGAGCAATCTCGAAAATCGATGGTGCAACACTTCATTCTTCCTCTTAATGTATATTTCTTGCATGCATATCACAAGGGACGGATACATGAAACTTTTAAGAGGGGTGACCATCCCGCTAGTCTCCTCTCAGTCTATTCCTGAGTCTGACACATGCATAACATATAAAGCAAAATGAAGAGTCGATGTAACATAAAAATTGATACCGAATGAAACGCTTCGTCTGAAGTTAAATCGAAATGAACGCAGGGGTAGACGGGTTGGAAATCGACATGGCTATGCAGAAGGTAACGGTGACTGGTCATGTGGACGAGAAGAAGGTGCTGAAAGTGGTGAGGAGAACCGGAAGGAAAGCAGAGTTTTGGCCATTTCCATACGACAGTGAATACTATCCTTATGCTTCACAGTATTTGGATGAATCCACATATAATTCTTCTTATAACTATTACAGACATGGGTTTAACGAAAGCGTGCATGGGTACTTCCCTGAACAAGCTTACACCACTGTCCCTGACCAAACTGTTCATCTCTTTAGTGATGATAATGTTCATGCTTTCTGCAATATCATGTGATATTCACTTCCGTTTTAATATTTCTCATGAATTTACTCTCTTTTTTTCCGAATTCTTAGCTCTATCTTGTCAAAAGTTTTATTCTAGTATTAAATCAGATTTGAACAAGTATTTATACTTTATTATTCTAGTTCAAATCCAATTTAATACGATAAAATGAATAACTTAAATCAAACCACCGCGCCGTTAATTTTTAACAGATGTGGTGACGTATCCAATAAATTGACATAATTATATATTTGGTCTTTAATATTTACATATTCTATCGATTATTCAATTAGAACATGACACGTTTCAATACATGATTGGAAGATTTTATTTATAAATTTTAATTATTTAATTAAAGGATTTTTATCCAATCAGGTGGTGACACCGATTGAAATGGAAAACAGAAGAACAAATATGCGCTCAGGGAGAATTGAACTTGCGTATGTAGGGGAAGAGGAAACCAGGCGCCCAAACCGTTGGACTAAAGGTCCCGAATGATTTTAACTTACAACAATCTATATTTGACTTTTATCGGGTTCATATCAATTCGATACAGGTCGAGTTCGGTTATCATTCGGTTAATAATTTTTTTTAAAATTTGGTTAATTCGATTAATGATTTTCAAATTAATTCGGTTCGTTAATAATTTTCAAAAAAATTTTGGTTCGATATAACCGAACCTAATTAACCGAATTTTTTTCTTTAACCGTTGATCGAACAAAAATTTATTTGAAAATTATTAGTCGTGAATAATTTATTTAATAAAATAAATTATCCGCGACTAATAATTTTCAAATAAATTTTGGTTCAATTAACTGAACCGAATTAACCGAATTTTTGCTTCGATTAATTCGGTTAATAGTTTTCAAAAAAATTCAGTTAATTCGGTTTGATTAATAATTTTCAAATTAATTCGGTTCGGTTAATAATTTTCAAATAAATTTTGGTTCGATTAACCTAACCGAATTAACCGAATTTTTTTTCTTTAACGGTTTGTAGACACTCATTTTTATCCAATTTATTATTATTATTATATATATATATATTATAGTTTGCAAATGATTTTTGAAATATATATAATATATATAGTTTTGAAAACGATTTTTTGAAAATGTATATATTATATAGTTAAAAATATTTTGAAAATTATATAATATATAGTTTTTAAAAAAACATTTTGAAAATATATAATATATAATTTTTAAAACATTTTGAAAACGTATATATATTATATAGTTTTTAAAACATTTTGAAAATATATATGTATAATATAAAGTTTTTAAAACATTTTGAAAACATATATAATATATATAATTTTTAAAACATTTTAAAAACATAGTTTTTAAAACATTTTGAAAATATATATATATTATATAGTTTTAAAAACATTTTTTGAAAACATATATAATATATAGTTTCAAAACATTTTTAAAAACTATATAATATATAGTTTTGAAAACATTTAAAAAAATATATAATATATAGTTTAAAAATATTTTTGATATATATATATATATAGTTATATTATTATTATTATTATTTTATGATTTATTTATTCATTTTATTTTATTAACTTTATTTCATTTTTATTGGGTCCAATAAGTCAAACTCTAGGTCCAGCAAGGGTGTGGGCTGCCCAACCGGGTAGGCAGGCCTGACCCAGCAAGCCCACCCGAATTAGGGTTTCAACATTTGTCACAACGCCGCAAGCATGACAACTGTTGGATCAGATCAACTGATCCAACAGCCCACAACAGATCAGAGGACTAGGTTTGCAAAACCCTAGGATATCATATGCGCAGCCAGATTTGGACCGTTGGATCTGACCCAATCTAACGGCCAGAAGTAATCTCAACAGCCAGGCATCACGCGTCGCCGGTCAAACATGCAACAAGATCAGAACAAACACGTTCCATAACGTCTAACAGAACGTAAATCTCAACAAGATCGGGAACAACCCCAAGATAATCGGGAGTAGCCCCAAAATGATCAAAAACGGCCCTGATGGGGCCTATAAATACCTTGCAAATCCACGACAAGATAAAAAACACAGACCCATCACAACAAGACCAACAAACCATCATCAAACAAACTAACAGAAGATCGGGAAACCACGAATACAAAGTAACCAACACGATAAAGCAAAAAACCCAACAAGCAAACCAACAATCTTTCGAAACCCACATACAAAAAACAACAAAAATAGTAAAAAACCAGTATGCATCGGAACCGAGAGGAGCACCTCGGGAAAATGAAGGGTTTTGTCGGGGAAGGTAAAAAGTCGAAGTTTTTTTTTTCAGATCTAGGCCAATCAAGATTTTTTGTGGTAATCAGGCTTTGATTTTGGGTTCAAGGCATAGAGGGGAGTGTTTTGGTGAGCTCGGGTTTTTTTCGGCCACCGAAGATGGCGACCGGAGCGGCGGTCGGCATGGCGGGGAGGCCACTATGCGGTGGCCTGCCATCGGGGCCGGCTGATGGGTTGAGAGATGCTCTCGCTTGGTGGGGGAAGGTTTTTGAGGAAATAGTGAAAATGAGTGAGAAATAGGTGTTTTGGGGTATTTATATACCAGTGACTACCTTGTAATTAAAGGATAGTTAAATTCTTTCGTTGTCCCCCAACTTTTGAAGCGTAATTCATTTCAGTCATTGTATGCAATTTGACCACTGAATTTTTAATTTATTCAATTCAGTCCCGATTTTTAATTTACATTTTTTGCAATTTGACCCCTCTAACTCTTTATTTTTCTCTTGCAACTCACTTTTAGTTTCGATTTAATCCATTAGTTTCGATTTGTTTCAATTTAATCCCCTAATTTTTTTATTTTTATTATTATGTTTTTAATTATTATTAGTATTATTTTTTTACCTCATATTGCTTCCATTTTATTACTTTTAAAATAATATTTTTTTCCTTTAATTTATTTAATTTTTCTTTATTATTTATTATTTATTTTATTTATTTTATTTCATTGATTTATTTTATTTTTTATTTGTTTATTTGTTAGTTTTTTATTTCTTTTTTTTACTTTGATTTATTTTTTATTGTTATTTTTTGTCTTTTGATTTTTATTTATTTTTTTATTTTTTATCTAACATTAGTTTTTGACCTTTTTTAGTAGTAATCTCAATCGATTAAAGGTAAGTAATTCGAATTGATTTTTTTTAATTTTAATTTTCCAATTAAAGACAACCGACGAATTAATTGGTATTGAAAGGGCAGTACAAGGGTATTAATTCTTCCTTGATTGTAACCAACTCCCGAACCCGATACATTTATGGTAAAACACATATTAGGTAAGATGGTGTCCGATCTACCTAAATATCATTTTTAAAATGATCGGTGGCGACTCTAACCCATTATTTCAAGTTGAAGCCCAATTTTGGGCCCAACTAAAAGACGGTTCCAACAACTTGGCGACTCCGCTGGGGACAGGTAAGTGAGTTAGGCCGAAATTAATTTTCGGTCGTCTTTTTGAGCGGAAATTACAAGTTTAAATTTTAATTTATTTATTCGATTCTTATTGTTTACTTTTGATTATCTTTTCAAATAAATAGTTGTACTGACGATTTCTTTCAATGGTTTCAGCTTATCAGACTTTTCCATCTAAGGCTCTATACCCGAGCTCCAAACTCATTTTTTAAGTGGGGGTGAAAGCGACGCTTTCGTGAGAATTTATTCTTCGTATAGGCCTAGCAAGTAACCTTCGGATTCATATACCTTATGTCTTTGGTGAATTTATTCTCCGTATGAAAATAAGGGAATGTATCATTTCGAGTTTAACTTAGTCCACATGAGCTTGTAATGGGCCTAGAACTAAGGGTTTGGCAAGCTCAAAGGGGCACCATCAAGGAAAACTAGGGTACCTTCTTTAGAACCTAAACCGGGAGACTACAGGGAATTAGAGCCCACCCCAAAACCTCATTTCAAACCCTAGACTGCTTCGAGATTATTTCTTGCTTTATTTTCTGTTCAAAGTATGTGAACTAGAAATTTATGCGGTTAAGACTGGTTCAAAATTAACATGTAGGATAGAGATCATGTCCGAGTAGGAATAATAAGTATATGGGGTAGATATCATATGGGGTAGGACTTTTTATTTTCATTATTGTTTTGATTTACCTTATTAACTCTTTTTTGTTCTTATTCTCTTTCATTTTTTTTCATTTGCATCATTCAAAAGAGCTGTTGATCCACCAAAAATGTGTTTGTTAAACGTAAATAATTTGCATTAATGGACAAAGGGGTTATGATACAAGATATGAAAAACCCAGAAGTCCAGCTATGATCAGAGAATACTCATAATGGATCTGGATTTACACTGTGCACACAAAAGTCAACTTTTTGAGCTGGCAAAGGTTGCAGGGGCAAGGCAAGAAAAAGTTATTAACCTGGAGAGTCCCTTCAAAGATAACAAACCATTGTTGACAAATCCAAGAAGCAAACAAGTGAGTTTCAGATAGTTCCCTTCAATGGAGGCTTCCAAATGCGCTTTCGTTGAGGGAAGACTCAGTAGAGAGTGAAAACCAGAGATGCAACCTTCTTGGGACAAGTACAAAAAGCAACTAGTCACTTGCACGGTTTAGCCAGAGGAGTCGGAACGGTTCGAAAGGGTATTCAACCGGTGACAAAAAAGGCGGAAGATGAATTAACTTGTTAGAAGTTATTCGGGGTCTATAAGACTTAGATGTTTTTTCTCTCTTAAAAAATAACACTTTTTCTCAATAAAGATTATTTATAATAATAGACTCGTTTTTGGATCAATGCCTCGGACATTGCATGCATCATGCATTTAGACATATTGTGCATTTTTTTATTTTCATTTATTTACATTCAGAGAAGCATGTCTCATCAAAAGGAATAAATACTTTATATACCACCTCAAGCATTGGAGACGCCCCATCCGCATAACACCCGCTCAAAGAAGAAGAAGAATGAATCCAAAATCGCTCAACTTGAAGAAAACATGCTAAGGCTGCAAAGAGAGCTAGAAGATAAGATAAACCAGAGCAATCTGAGTACTCTGGATAC